CATGGCAGCTAACAACTGCCCCTAACTCCAGTCCCAGGGGATTCGACAGCCTCTTCTGACCTCCACAGGCATTACACGACATGGGTGCACTTACCTACATGCAGGCAATACATGCATACACATAAAATAAAAATGAATAAATAAATTTTAAAAAAGATTTTAAAAAGAAAGAGAGGTGCTTAGGGAAAGTTTGGTGCAAGTATGGACAAAGGATTCTCAATGGAGACACACTTAAAGTGTCTTAGCAATAGCCATATATACAATTTTTAATTTTTAAAAATTTTATGTGTATGAGTATACTGCCTGCATGTATGTAAGTGCACCCGTGTTGTACAGTGCTTGTGGAGGTCAGAAGAGGTGTGTTGGATCCGTTGGAACTGGAGTTAGGATGGTTGTTAGTCACAGTGTGGGTGCTGGGAACGAAACCTGGGTCCTCTGCAAGAGCTCTTAAACCCTGAGCCATCTCTCCAAATCTCCCCCTCATATATACAATTTTGGTGGCCTCTCAAGTTATATCTCAAAGGGTTGTTAAGAAATTCCTCCTCTCACCATCACTCTTTTTTTTAAATTTTATGTCTATGAGTGTATTGCCTGCATGTATGTGAGTGCACCCGTGTCGGGCAATGCCATGGAGGTCAGAAGAGAGCTTCGGATTCCCCGGAACTGGAGTTAAGGATGGTTCATAGCCACCATGTTGGTGCTGGGACTTGAACCCGGGTCCTCTGCAAGAGCAGTTAGTGCTCTTAACCACTGAGCCATCTCTCCAGCCCCACCATCACTCTTTTTGATAAGTGAAATCATAGGGTGGTTCCTGAGGTGCCTTGGATAAGATTGCAATCTGATAAAGAACAGCCACCACCACAACAACAAAAAAAACCCACATGGGTCCCAAAGGTTGCACAAGGTTTAAGACATGCTTTGCTGTAAATTCCTTGAGAAAATTTCTTGAGAAATTCCTAGAAACCTTCAGGTTTACAGCTGGGGAAGGAAACAGGACATACTCGAAGGTCATATATAGTTAGGCCTTACACATAGTTTGTTGCTGTTTTAACAGTCGTATTTGAAACATCTCTATAGAAAAGGAGTGTTGTCTCTATGTAGACAGTCTTCACAGCAAATGTTAATTGTGCTGCAATTCTTGACTCTCAGCTGGTAAGAGACAAGAGATGTCAACCAGACTTTGAGGTAAGGGATTCCTTTCCCTTCTCACATCCCCTTAACTTACCCTGTTTTTCAATCCAGCCTCAATGAGAAGCCACAGGCTGACTGATTACAACAGGTACTAGGATGTGCCAGGATGATGGAGTAGTAGGCCAAATGAATATATTTCAGAGTTCCCATGCAAGTGACTGGTAAAAATACCAGCAAGGAATGGAAAAACTTAAGCATGTGTGAGTCAGGTCCTTTCCATATATTACTCATGCATTTCCATGGATTGATCTTCACAACAACCCTGCCAACATTTCTCTCTTTTTTTTTTTTTTTTTTTTCAGAAAAAGAACCTGAAGCTCAGAGAGTTAGGTCGCTCAGGTCTCACAGCTGGTCCAGGTAGAGTCAGGCTTTTATTGTAGGGACCTTGTTCTTAATCACTACATAGTGTTTTTTTGCCTGAATGAAGTAGATTCTGGGGTGATTATGGCTGCAGTTGTCTACGGTCTGGAGTGGGACATGGAAGAAGGTATTAGGAAATTCATTTCCACTGGCTCTGTCCCATCCTCTGTTCACTGGTGTCTTTTGTCCCTTGTGTTAGAATTAGGATCTAAGATACTATACTCCTTGCCTGTAAAATACCAGATATCAAATCAAAGCACGTTATAAAGAGAATGGGAAAGAGAAAGACTGGGCTGGTCATGGGAAGAGCCTTGGGGAGGGTAAAGTATTGGGGGAGTACCCAACGACTAAGGTTTGTGAGCAGCACAGAAGTACTATGGTGACTTCTAAGGCTTTTTGGAAGATGCAACTTTGAAGAATCTGTTCATCTTTTTGGATTTCTGCATTCTACTTCATTTTACCAATGTGACATTGGCTTCTGTTTGAGTTTCACAAAGCAGGAAGATCAGAGATGCTCAATAATGTAGCCTCTTCAGGAAGGGTAAACTGGGCCTGTGGCACTCCAGGGTTACAAGTTAGAGGGAGTTCCTTTTGTCTGCTTGATCCTGGGAGAGCCATAGATGGTATTCCAAAAGGAAAAAAAGCTCAATGTCAGTTCTTAGATACAGTTATCTCATCAGTAAGCCTGGTTCTGCTGATGGTGCTGGGAGGATGGTGGTGGTGATCTTGGCCAATGAAGGTGACAGGGTCTAAGCATTTAAAGAAGCTAGCCTCTCATGGAAGAGAATCTTCATAGAGACACTTATCCAGGCTCTCACCTTCCTGTGACTCATTTACCTCCCATACTATATATCTCCCTGCCTCTTCTCTGGGGGACCTTTAGCTCTTCCAAGATATTCTGTGACTCCTCTCCTATCCCAGTTTCTTAAATCAGCAGCCCTTCTCTACCCTCATCATCTTGGAGAACTCCACGCCTGCCAAGGAGTGGCTGCCCTGGTGCTCTCCCCATTCTTGAGCATTCAGAGACATGGTCAAGTTCTAGAGAGTCACACTCCTTTCGCTGATCCCAGTGGCTTGCCTTGGCCCATCTACAAGGGGCCGAGCTGACATTAGTTGCTGCCTGAGCCAGGCTGGTCCCTGTGCTCAGAGGGACAGAAGAGGGCAGGAGAAGTCTTGCCACCCAGAAGTCTTGCACTGTAGCTTCATGTAGAGGAGTGTGGAAAAGATCCACTGTACCCATGTCCACGTGCATAAGACCTTTAGTGTTACTCCAAAGTAAGCCTGTCTCTACTCACCCCTGCCTTCATTCTCATGTGTCTCTTTCTTGTCCCGTTTCTACCTTTACAAAGGCTAAGAATGAGAAAGGAGAAGAAAAGACCTATGGCTCCCAGGTCAGAGTCTGAAGGCTTAGGGTACTCTTCTTCCAGAGACTCTAGAACCAAAGGATTTCCCTTGCCTAGGTTACAGGGATCCCCTTGAATCTGCCCCATTCTCTCAGGGATAAATTATGAGAACACAGAAGCACAGAGAGACAGAAATAGAAGCCAGAGGGATATACATACAAAGAAAACCACAAAGAGATCCAGAGAGTAGATAGATAGATAGATAGATGATTGATAGATAGATAGACAGATGATAGATAGATAGATAATAGATGATAGGTAGATAGATAGATGGTAGATAGATAGATAGATAGATAGATAGATAGATAGATAGATGACAGGTAGATAAATAGATGATAGATGATAGGTAGATAGATGATAGATTAGATAGACAGACAGATAAATAGATGATAAATAAAGATAAGAGAGACAGAGAAATGGAGGTATAGAAATAAGAGAGGAGGGAAGGAGAAGGGAGAAGGAGTCAGGGGGAAAGAGAGGGAGACACAAGCCAAGGGCCAGAAGCTTTCTACCTACCCCATATCAAAACCAAAGAAAAACAGAGTCTGAGGGATGCCTCTCTGAGGCTCTGCCCTGACCTTGGTGTCCATAACTTAGAACTTAGATGGGAAAAATTGTATTATCCTCATTAATCTTTAGCTGAAATTTAGTATTTCCTTCAATTATGATAGAAGTAACAAGCCAGTCATATTAGAAGCTGTCAAGGAAAGATGGCATATACAAAGATTTGATCAGAAGAAATGCCTGTGAGAGGGGCTGGGGGACTGGGGCTGGGAGACCTATGAGGGAGAGTGAAAGAAAAGATTGGATAGATGCATTGTGGACCATCTATCATGTAGTTTAGGGGAAGATCCCAGATCTCTGCTGAGCCCTATCATTGACTGATCTTAGAGCCAGAGGCTCATGATTTTCAGAGGAAAGCAGCTGGGGCCTTGATTAACTTCACTCCTTAGAGCTGAAGGTTTGTGAGGAGCATTATTGCCATCACCACAGTTGCCCACCTAGAGGAAAGGATAGAGTACTCCTGTCTGGGCACCTGCTGTAGGGGTTCTGTCCAGGGTTGTAGGGGACTTGGGGAGTGCTGTTTTCTAGCTGCAAGGCCTTGAGCAACTTATTTAATGTTCCATATCTCCTTATCTGTAAAATGGAGGCTATAAAAGTTCCTGTTTTATAGGAATATTGTGATGCTTAATTGAAGTTTGCAAAACAATGTTTGCACAGGGCCTGGGACACAGGCAACTCTCAATAATTGGTAGCTGTCATTATGGTCATTTATTAATTATTATTATCATTCTCTTTCTCAAAGAGAAGGCCCTAGGGAAGTGGGGCTATAGGAGGCTGCTGATGACAATCCTTTCTTGGGTTGGGGTAGTGGGGAGAGCTGGGACCCACTTCCTCACACTCCCCTGCTCTTCCCCTGAGGCAGGGGTCTTCCTCTAGCTTCTGGCAGTTCCTGTGTCTGCTGACTCACAGCCAACTTCCTCTCATACAAACAGGAAAACACACTGGCCAGCACCCCCCGCCCCCCAACACTACACACAGCTAAACACTGGCCCTGCTCTGAGGGGGAAGTGTCTCAGGCTCTAGGGGACAGGCTCCAGCGCTGGAGTGCCTGCAAATGGGAGAAGGGACAGGAGCCTTTCCCTGCCCTCCTCACCCCCCCAGCAGTTTTCAGGTAGGGAAGATGGGAGAAGAGTCTTGTCCCAAGAATGCTGCTTGTTTGGTCACTGTGCTTGCCCCAGAAAGAAAGCCTCAAACCTCGGTTTGGAAGATCCTGAGAGGAAACCTAGGCTGGGCCCTTGGGGCAACAGAAGCTAATGGGCCTCCTCAGCAAAGAGGACCTTCTCAACTCTGAAGATTTTTGTCCCCCATTTAAGTGGGTGCCAGAGTTCAGCCCACCCTGCTGATTATGGGAGAGGAGTCCAGAGGGCTTCAGGCCCCGTGCGTTCTCCCCCCTTGCAGGGCTAGGATGCAAAGCCTTCTTCCGCAGCGTCCTTCCTTCCTCTGTTTCTACTTGCTACCCCTATCTCTAGTCTGGTCCTCTTTGTCCCTCTGCCTAAAGTTGTCTGAGCTTCAACCTTTTGTTCTGGGAGAGCGCAGGACCATACAGACCCCTGATAAGCGCTGCTGTTGGGTAAGGAGCCCAAACGACCTGAAGGCGGGTGCTTGCACAAGGGGCAGCCGGGGCCTCGCAGAGCCGTCGGGGCGGGGCCGGGCCGTCGGGGCTGGGCAGCAGGGAGGCGGGGCTGTCGCGAAGGGACGCCGAGCCTCGGACAGCGCGCCAGGCACCGGGGAGCGGACGGCTGCAGCAGCGAGGTGAGGCCCCCGCGCCCCCCGCCCCCTCCTCAGCCTCCACCCCATCACCTCCTCCCGGCCTCCATGGGTTCCCAGAGCCCCTCGGTGCAGGCTCCCTACTCCTCCTCTTCTTCCTCCCCTCCGCGACCCGCCCCTCCCTGCTGCCGGGCCTCTGCCCCCTCCCTTCTTGCCCAACCCCCAACCTGAGCTGCCCCGCGCAGACAGGCCCGCCCCCTACCACCCCTGTCCCGCAAGCACCTCCTGGCTTCCAGACTGTGCCCTAGTGCTTTCCGGGCACAGAGATTGAGTCACTGGGAGACTCAGGGCCCGAGGTGTGTAGCACTCCTGACCTGGCTTGGGGATGGGGACCCAACTAGAGATAGGCCAGAACTGACACTGGGATGGAGAGGGAGTCCTGGTCAGGGACGCAGTTAGGAGAGAGCAAGGGTGAGAGCACAGCCCGGCACGCAGAGGCCAGCCCAGGGTCAGAGGTGGCCAGAGCCACAGAAACAACTTAAGACCTGGTTAGAATAGAAGACTGAGGCAAGGACAAGCTTGATGATAGGGAACAAAACAAGGTGTGATGATGAGAGGGACAAAGGTGGGTTTAGAGAGGTACAGATGGAAGTAAAGTGAGGTGGAGAGGACAGGGCAGAGGTTAAAACTCAGAAATGTGTCCAGGGTATAGGGTCAGTCTGGTCCAATGGGACGCAGAACTGCAGGAGACCTGATCACAAGGGTAGGGAAAAGAAAGGCAGGCTCACAAAAGGCTTGGAGAAAGAGTGTTTTCAGTGGTTACAGGGCGGTGCATGAATATACAGGGGTGGAGAATGGCGAGCATCTTGGACTATCCCTCACCTCTGGTCCCTCATTTGTTTGGCCAGCTTCTCCGCCCATCCCTGTTTCCTAGGTGGCCTCTGCCCAGGCCAGGACCCCACACATTGGGACTGATTAGGGCCCTCTGGACAGCCTGACCAGGGCAGGCAGGATGTGGGGGTGGTCAGGCTAGAGGGACAGGAAGGAAGTCTGAGGAGAGACAATAGGTGGAAGGGGAGGAGGAACTGGGAATGACCAGGATTAGGATGTCCAGCCTGGACCTCAGCTCTGGAAACCGGTGTGAGTGGGCTCTACTTCTCCCTCTTCCTTCCTAGCCCGCCCCTCTCCTCACGTTATGCTGTAGCTGGATCTGGCTGCCTGAGTGGCCCCTGCTTCTCCACCTTCCTGCCCTGCCCTAATCAGCAGCACTCCAGCAGCCTGTTCTTTGCTCATGCAGCTGAGTGTGCATAGAGCAGAATTATAGCTTTGACCCAGACTCAGAGGCAGACACTTGGGGACCAACACTAGCACCGCTTGCAGTGAGCATGGGCTTCATTTCCTCTTCTCCTGTTAAGGACAGAGCCTTTTCTTATATTCTGGGATGGCTCTGTCTCCAGATCATAGTCTTTGGGCATTCTTCTTTGGAGGCAGACAGGAAGCTGATAACCCCATCCAGTGCTTGGACTTTGGGGCAGGGAGGGGGGAATCTCAGCCTGAGCCCTCCCTTCACCCTGCCCCTCCCCCCAGCAATGGCCTGAGCCCCCATGGCTGCCCCTCAGGACCTGGACATCGCCGTGTGGCTGGCTGTGGTACACCTGGAGCAGTATGCAGACACGTTCCGGCGGCATGGCCTAGCTACAGCTGGTGCAGCCCAACACCTGGGCCACGAAGAGCTGAAGCATTTGGGCATCAGTGCTACTGGACATCGGAAACGTATCCTGCGCCTGCTGAGGGCGGGTTCTGCAGAAGATTCCCTGGATCCCCCATTGGATAGTACCATGGAGCCATCCCCAAGCCCAGCCTCTCAAACCCAGCCCCCTAAGCCTGTGCCCAAGCCCAGGACTGTGTTTGGGCTCAGTGGCCCTGCCACTGCCCAGAGGACTGGACTGAGCCCAACCTGGGGACCAGAAGTATCCAGGAACTCAGAGTCTAGCCCAAGGTCCTCTTCTCTTCTTGCCTCCCCCTCTGAGCAGCCTTCAGCCCTGAATACCATGGAGATGATGCCCAGTGCCATCTACTTCGGCCTGAACTTAAGAGGCGAGGCTCAGGCAGCTCAGGACATGTCAGTGAGGTTGCTACCTACAGATCTGATTCTGAGGATGGGAAGAGGGCAACAGGGCATGAGGGCAGTCTTTCTTCCTCACTTCCTTAATAACCACAGAATTTCCCCTCAGGGCTCCAGACAGCTCCCAGACAGCTGCTCCAACCCCTGCCTTCAGGCCTACAACAGGCACAGGTAGGTGGGTTTGTCCTGGACTTGCTGGGGAGGAATTGTGCCCACCTAGACCTCAGACACTCCCAGTTAATCCCCACTTCCTCCTTGATACCCCTCTCCTCACCTTGCCAGTGCACATCATGGATCCTGGTTGTCTGTACTATGGTGTCCAGCCTGTGGGGGTTTCAGGAGTCCCTGATAGAAGAGAAGGCAGAGGTGTCTGTCAGGAAAGGGCTGAGCAAAGGTGAGTACTCAGTAGGCTCATGATGGGAGGACAGGGGGAAACTTGAGGGTCACTTAAGCTAGCCACAGTGGCCATGTGTCCAGTTTCTCGTCAAATGTGCGCTGAGCATTCCCTCAGTGCCAACTAGGTACTGCAGGTGCAGGATGACTGTAACAGACCCAGTGTTGTCCTTAGGCAGTTTGTGACTCGGTGGGGCTGACAGGACACAAGATATGTACACAAACAAATAGATAAATAATTAAGATTTAGAACTTCTTCCAGTCAATAAATACTAAGCACTGTGACATGCCAAATACAGACACTTGGGATAGCTTAGTATATGCAGAAACTCGTGTTCTTATGAGAAGATAATAAATGTTATATTTTATGCAATGTAGTAGATAGTACAAAGGCTATAGGAAACATAGAGCAGGGTTAGAGAGCTGGGGAACTGTAGGGTTTAAAGGCATTGCAGCTATTGGAATATTAAGAAGATAACAGGGCTTGGAAGATGGTTCTGCGAGGAAAGTACTTTCTGCACAAGCATGAGGATCTGAGTTCAGATCCCCAGCACCTACATAAAAGTCAGACAATATGCATCTGTAATATCATTGCCAAAAGAGCAACACAGGTAGGTCCTTGGAGCTCACTGGCCAGTCACTCTAGCAGAACTGGTGAACTCCTGTTCAGTGAGATACCTGTTTCAAAAAATAAGGTGGAGATTAATTGAGGATGATACTGGACATCAGTCTCTGGCCTATACACATACACATGGAGCGAGCAAGTGGGAGAGACAGAGAGACAGAGAAGAAAGAGAGAGAGGAGATAACATAAAAGTTGAGCAAAAAATTTAAGGAGTTGAAGAGCTGGCCACAAAGATTCTAGGGGCAGTATGTTCTAGGCAGAGGGATTAGTGAGAATACAGACCTTCTGGAGGGTGCATGCCCTGGGGATGCAAGCACAATGGGAAGGTAGATGTGTAGCTGGGGCAGATGGGCCTGGCTGAGCCGATGATGTCAGAAGTAAAGGGGCCCCATGGTAAAACCTATAGGGAAGGTGCTGTTACACTCCGTGAAATGGGGGGCCATCAGAGGGCTTTGACTTAGATTGTAAAATGGGGAGCCTTCCAAGGGTTTTGACGTAGACTATGAAAGGACCCCTCTCTTGCTCTGTTAAGAATGGTGTGTGGGGGGAAAGTAGCAGAGGACAGTTAGGAGGTTCTCAGAGTGCAGTGATGAGAAATGGCTGTATTTTGAGGGTAAACTGTCATATTAAGTTGGTGTGTGAGAGGAAAATAACAGTCAAACATTAAGTTTGAGGGCTTCAGCATGAGCCTCTGCTCTCCTGTATGGTAACCACTAACCACATAGGACTACTGAGCATGTGAAGCATGCTAATCTGCACTGAGAAGAGCTGAAAATGTAAAATGTCTGCCAGGACTTACTACAAACAAAATACTGGGTGAATATAAATAGATACAGAAATAAATGTCCTTAGTAATGCTTTCAGTGTGTGTATGTGTGATGTATGTATATGTGTGCATGGATGAGCTTGCCCACACACGTATGTGTCAAGGCCAGAGGATGATGTTAGGAGTCTGTGTTGCTCTTCATCTTATTTCTTGAAATGGGTTTCTCACAGAACCTGGAGTTTGCCATTTTGTCTAGGCTGGCTAGCCAGTAAGCCCTGGGAATCTGCCTGCCTTTGCCCTCCCTTCACCCAGTGCTGGATTACAGATGTCCACCACAGTGCCTCACTTTCGTGTGTGCTGGGGATCTGAACTCAGGTCCTAATAGTCATGCAGCAAGCGCTTTATCCACTGAGCCATCTCTTTAGCTCCAATGTTTTGGATATATTGTGTTACATAAATATAGACTATGAAAGTTAATTTGTCTATTTCTTTAATTTAAATGTTGCTACTGGAAAATTTTAAATTACATGTGTCGTCCTTGTTGACTTCTATTGGGCAGCACTGTTTTTCACACCTGAGAGTTCATGGAGTTACTATGGTCTGCGATGAGGAGCACTGTGCATCAAACAGGAGGGAGGTGGGGGGTGACCAGGAGTTCTGTTTTGGACATGTTGAATTTGGACACCTATACTAAATGTACACCCAGAGGAGATGACAAATAAGACTGCTGATCATACAGGCCTAGAGTTTGGGTGAGCTGTCTGACAAAAGGGGAACTATCAGCATTTAGAGAGAATGTGAAGAGAAGAGGACCCAGATCAGAGTCTTGGTGCCCTCCCACATCAAGAGGTTTGGGAAACAGGAAGAATCATCAAAACAGACTGAACAGGAATAGCTAGAGAAGGAGAAGGAAAGCCAGAAGGTGATATTATTGGAGTCAAGGGAAGGTAGTGTGCAAACAAGAGGGAGAGGCCAACTGTGTCATGCTGTGGAGGGGTCTGCTGCTGAGTAAACTAGGACTGAGAATTGACCACTGGGATCCACACGATGGAGGTCACTGGGGACTTGACAAGGGCAGTCTTGGAGTGGAGGGGATGAAAGCCTGATCATTGTTTAAGAGAGATTAGCAGCTGGGCCTGGTGGCACACATCTTTAATCTCAGTTTGCAAGATTGTAGCTAGCCTTGTCTATATAGTGCTCCAGGCCAGTCAGGGCTACATAGTTGAGACCCTGTTTCAGAAGCACAGAGAAAGAGAGAGAGAGACAGAGAGAGAGAGAAGACAGAGACAGAGAGACAGAGACAGAGAGAGACAAAGAGACAGAGACAGAGAGGTGTGGAGGGGAATGAATAGGAGAGGAATTAGAAACCATAGACAATGTTGAGTATTTCTGTACAGAACAAGGATTTGGAATGACTGTTAATGGTGGAGGTGGAGTCAAGCAAAGGGTTTTTTATAGGATGGAAGGTTGTATATGTTTGTAAATGATTAAGAACAGCTTGGTGGAGAAGTGTATGGAGGGGAAGGTGTGAAAATATGCAGTGATATCTCTGTGTAGGTGAGAGTTGAGGATCGAGTGCACAGAGGAGTCTGGTTTTAGACCGGTGTTTATTGCAGTCACAGGAGTTAGGCAGAGTATGGGCGTGAAATTGCGTAGATGTGGCACTGTGAGTCTGTGGGGTTCTTGTCTGATTGCTTCAGTTTCTCAAAACAGTAGGAAACAAATAGGGTAGAGTAGTGGTTCTCAACCTTACCTATCCCATAGCCTGGGAACTTTTAAAGCTACAGGTGTCTGGGCCTAACTCCCAGAGATTCAATTTTAAGTGTCTGTAAAATTTTTATTTTTATTTTTATTTTATGTATATGAATGTATTGCCTGCATGTAGGTAGGTGCACTCGTGTCATGCAATGCCCAAGGAGATCAGAAGAGGGCGTCGGAATCCCCTGAACTAGAATTACAGACAGTTGTTAGCCACCATGTGGGTAGTGGGAATCAAATCTGGGTCCTCTGCAAGAGCAGCCAGTGCTCTTAACTTCTGAGCCATCTCTCCAGTCCCTCATTTGCATGTTTAAAAGAGCACTAGTGGCTGTGGGAGAATGGATTGTGGGAGGGAGGACAAGAATGCAGGTGACCAGTTGGGCAGTTTTTTTTTATGCCAGTAAGAACTGATGAAACTGGTCCAGGGAGAGAAAGTCAAGAACATTTTGGAGGAAAACAAAACAAAACAAAACAAAACAAAACAATAAGATATATTGATGAGCCATGAGCGACCATGACAGGAAGATCCTACACATCTTTCCCTCTTTTCCAGAGTAGGAAAACTGAAATTTTCCCAGTAAAAATCCCAGGCATGCTCAGAAAGAAGCTACAAGACAACCTTTTGGGTTCTTAGCTTCCATACCCTATTTAAAAAACAAATCTTGTATCGGCCAGACATCTACAGGTGCTATGAATGGGGTTAGAGAAATTACCAAGAGATTGTTCGAAGTACTTGGTCTGACATGTGTTCTTTCCTTTTGTGCCCATGAGGCTCAGCAGGCAGGATCTGGAGGCACGGGAAGACGCTGGCTATGCCAGTCTCGAGTTACCTGGGGACTCCATCCTTTCACTGCCCACCCAGGACACAGAGGAAACCAATGATGACCTCATTTCACCCTATGCCAGCTTCTCCTCCACAGCAGACCGCCCCATACCCCTGCTTAGCGGCTGGCTGGACAAGCTCTCACCTCAAGGGTGGGGCTGCTGGGAGGGGAGGGAAGGGAAGGGAGGCTGAGAGGTGGGAGACAGGTTCTAGGCCCTGTGATCCCCCACATCGTGTATCCCCAAACACTTACTGACCTTGGCCCCTTCCTTCTCAGAAATTATGTCTTTCAGAGACGCTTTGTGCAGTTCAATGGAAGGAATCTGATGTACTTTGGCAGTGACAAGGTGGGGGACTGGAGATGCTACATGGATACCAGACAGAGAAGGATAGGGAGTGCTAAGAGATCCCAGTTCATGATTAAAATGAGTGAAGCCCATGGGGGAGGATGGCCACAACTGCCTGATGTCAGCATCTAAGGTAGTTGGTTCCACAGCTGTTACCATGGATTGAGTGGTGATCTCATGAAAGCTAATCCATGTTGTGGATTGAGTGCTGATGTCATGAAAGCTAGTCCTGGACCCAGGTCAGTACATGTAGCTCAGTTCCTATCCCCATGGATCACTGAGGTCTCTCTCCAGGACCCCTTCCCCAAGGGTGTGATCCCTCTGACTGCCATTGAGATGACCCGCAGCAGCAAGGACAACAAATTCCAGGTTATTACTGGCCAGAGGGTGTTCGTGTTCCGCACAGAGAGCGAAGGTGAGGGCCAGAGCCCACTGATTAGGGTAAGAAGAAGGCTGGGTGAGCACACAGCGCACTGACCAGCTTCTCTGTTCCCAACCAGCTCAGCGGGACATATGGTGCTCCACACTGCAATCCTGCCTGAAGGAGCAGCGCCTCCTGGGCCACCCCCGACCCCCACACCCACCACGACCTCTCCGCACTGGCATGCTGGAGCTGCGTGGACATAAAGCCAAGGTGTTTGCTGCCTTGAGCCCTGGAGAACTGGCTTTGTACAAGAGTGAGCAAGTAAGGAGGGCTGGGCAGGGGCTGATGAGCCTGGCTAGCCCATTCTGGCATCTCACAGTGTTATCCCCTCCACCCCCTGCTAGGCCTTCTCTTTGGGTATTGGGATCTGCTTCATTGAACTACAAGGCTGCAGCGTGCGGGAGACCAAGAGTCGAAGCTTTGACCTGCTCACACCCCATCGATGCTTCAGGTGGGCCTGGACTGGTGAAAGGCAAGGCTGGGGGGTCTTTTCAGGGGAGGCAGAAAGGTGAAGAGGACTGGAGACCTTCTCAAAAGGATATCAATAGATATAAATGATGAGAATCCAGTGAACAAGGCCAAGATGTCAGGAAGGGAAGCTTGGGATGTAGCTCAGTTGATAGAGTATATACCTAACATGCACAGAGTACTGAGTTTGATCCCTAGCCCTGCACAAGTCAGACATGGTGCATGCCTGTAATTCCAGTACTTGAGAGGTAGAAGCAGGAGGATTAGAAGTTCAAAGTCATCTTCAACCACAGAAGTTTGAGGCTAGTCTAGGATAGATGAGACCCTGACTTGAAAAAAGATGTCAAGAGGATCTGGGCTGGCCTACATGTGGCTTGTAGTAGCTCCTGTAGAAACGGGCACTGGGATGGGACATGAAGGGAGGCCCATTCCCATGGACTGGCTCTCCATCCCTCAGCTTCACAGCCGAGTCTGGGGGTGCTCGGCAGAGCTGGGCAGCTGCTCTGCAAGAAGCAGTAACTGAGACTCTGTCTGACTATGAAGTGGCTGAGAAGGTCTGGTCAAATCGGGCAAACCGGCGTTGTGCAGACTGCGGGGTCTCTCGCCCAGACTGGGCTGCTGTCAACCTTGGGGTGGTCATCTGCAAGCAATGTGCAGGTGAGAGCTGGAGCTTGAGCCCAAATGGGGAGAAGGAAAGGGACTAGGGTAGAGAGACTGGAGCAGAAGAACTCAGAATACACATGGTCTTCCCCTCTAACAGGTCAGCACCGGGCTCTGGGCTCTGGGATCTCCAAGGTGCAGAGTCTGAAGCTGGACACGAGTGTCTGGAGTAATGAGATTGTGCAGGTGAGGGGTCTTCGGAGGGAGGAGGGGAAGGGATGGAAAGGAAACATTCAAAAACAGCCCAGAGCTAGGACTGGACTGTCTAGGGATCCTTAAGTTTGGTCACTCTCCTTTGCCTCTTGTCAACCTGCAGTTGTTTATTGTCCTGGGAAATGATCGTGCCAACCGCTTCTGGGCAGGTGCACTACCCCCAGGTGAGGGGTTGCATCCAGATTCTGCCCCTGGCCCCCGGGGAGAGTTCATCTCCCGAAAGTATAAGCTGGGTCTCTTCCGGAAACCCCACCCTCAGCATCCAGATCATAGCCAGCTTCTACAGGTAGGAGGGACAGGTTGGAGTTCATGCGGGGCAGTCTGTCTTGAAATGCCTAGACTTGGGTGATAAAGGCTGCTTTTGGTGATAAAAGACTGTCTCTGGGGCTCTCAGGTTGGGTGTGGGGCTGACAGAGGCCTTTCTTCCCCTGCAGGCACTGTGTACAGCTATGGCGGGTCCCAACCTGCTGAAGAACATGACCCAGATCCTCTGTGTTGAAGCCTCTGAGGGAGAGGAGCCCTGGTCTCCCTCAGCCCTCAATGGCAGCTTGCTTAGCCTTCTACCACCAGGTCATCCTCCCAAGTACTGGCTCTCTCTCCCTAGGAGTTCTCAGTCCCAACCTGTGATTTGGTTCTTCCAGGGGGCTCCAATTACCCCATTGCCTGATCTATCACAGTGGCCTGGCATGGCAGTTTCCCAACCCCTTATCCCCCAGAACCTGTTTCTTGAGGTAGAGGGATGACTTATGAGGGCTTGAGATCACTGCCTGGAATAGGCAACTGTTAGTGCCAGACCTTCAGGAGAATATCAACCTACAAGTCAGGTCTCATCTTGTATGAGATGTTGTATGTCTAGGGACAGTCTGATTGCTCAAAGGAGTGGTTGGCTTAATGATGCTGGTCTCCATTTGTCAGGCCAGATGGGCCAAGACACTTACAATGTGGCCACACTCTGAAGTCCCCATCCAGAACTGCCTTCCTGGTTGTCTGGCTGGTGGGGAGAGGGGTAGGCAGGCATGGACTATGTATGTCCTCATCCCCCCACCACCATCTTCCAGTCTAGATGGTGAGGGCCTCAGCCCCATTGGGCTCCACTTGAGCATGCTGCCAGGGGAGATGGGTCCTATGGTCTTCCCCTATTGGATCCCTTTCCCAAAGGGAATCTGGCCATCTCATTGCTCTGGACTCACCTGAGCCCCCTTTTCCTCTTACAGACTCTTCCCCTGGTGTATACAATGAGGTGGTAGTGCCTGCCACTTATAGCAGCTTCCTATACTGTGGTCCCATCAGCACCAAGGCTGGAGCTGCACCCCTTCGAAAGGGCCGGGATGGTGAGGGGCAATGAGGGTATGGGAGGAAATGGGCAGAGAGTGGGATAGGTGTGAATGTGTGAATGTAGAGAGACAGGAAGAACAGGGGCTGGATGGGAAAGTGGGGCCGTGCCCTGGAGTGGACTGGAGTGCTTGGAGTGAATGAGTGACTGGGCCAGGTTGCAGGACTGGGTGGTGATAGCTAGCCTCTGCTCTGAAGTCAGACTGTCTGGGTCAAATCCTAGTTATACTACTTCCTACTTGTGTGACTTGGGCATGCTGCTCAAATGGTGATCCTCAGTTTCCCTGTCTGCAGAACAGTACTGAATATGAAATCCACTTCATAGGGTACTGTGAATATTATGTGGTATCATTCATAAGCAGAAGGTTTGACATGGAATATGTACATGGGAACTATAAGTAAATGGGAACTATGACAGTGGGGCAGATGTCTCCTCCACCATCTCTCTTCCACTTAGCTCCTCCCCGCCTGTGGTGTGTGCTGGGAGCTGCTCTGGAAATGTTTGCATCAGAGAGCAGCTCTGAACCTCTCAGCCTCATCCAGCCCCAGGATGTTGTATGTCTGGGTGTAAGCCCCCCACCTGCTGACCCAGGTGACCTCGACAGGTAACACCCCCTCCTGCTCTTTCCATTGCCCAGCCTGGCAGCACTCTCAGTGGTCACTGCTGTCCCCCTGACCTCATCTTCCCTACAGGTTCCCTTTTTCCTTCGAGCTCATCCTCACTGGGGGCAGGATCCAGCATTTTGGCGCAGATGGAGCAGACAGTCTGGAGGCCTGGATCAGTGCAGTGGGCAAGGTAAGGAGGCCAAGGCTCCTCTTTAACACCTCATGTGTCTCTGTCTTCACCTGCTTCCATCCTTTCACTTATGTTTGTATAATCACTCTTACCACTTGCAATAACAAATAGCCTAAGGTGACTGAGCATGTATTCCAACCCTGTGTTTTAAGAAGTGCCCACTCAATACCTCATTTAATTTTTACAACAACTCTTAGAGGTAAGAATTATTAATGTTCTATGAAAGGAAACTCAGTCTTAGAGGTTATGAAGTCACTTGGTCAAGGTCACAGAGCTAGGAGGCAGCAGAGTACAGGACTAAAACTTAAGCCTCTGTTTTAGAGCTCATGATCCAGCCTCACTGTGCCCTGGCCTCTTCCCACAGAGAAGCTGACCCTCACTCTTGCTACCCTACTCCTGCCCCCCAGGTTTTTGAAACAAGAAAAAGCTACTTTCAAAAACAAAAACGTGGGGGGGAGGCGGTGAAGAGATGGCTCAGCGGTTAAGAACACTGATTGTTCTTGCAGAAGACCCGGGTTTGAATCCCAGCGCCCACATGGCAGCTAACAACTGTCTGTAACTCCGGTCCCAGGGGATCTGACCTCCTCGGGCATTGCACAACACGGGTGCACTTACTTACATGCAGGCAATACACACATACACATAAAATAAAAATAGTAAATAAAAAATTTAAAAACAACAATAACAACAAAACAGGGAGCTGGTGAAATGGCTCAGTGGTTAAGAATACTGGCTGCTCTTACAGAGGACCGGGGTTCAATTCCCAGCACCTACATGGTGGCTAACAACCAACTGTAACTCCATTTCCAGGGGAATTCAATACCCTCTTCTGATCTTCGAGAGCATTGCAAGACATGGGTGCACTTAAACATATGCAGACAACACACTCATACACAGAATTAAAAAATAATTTTAAAAAAAGACAGGGTCTTATGTATTCTAGTCTGGCCTCTAACTTGCTATGTAGTCAAGGATGACTTTGAACTGCTGATCCTCCTGTCTCTGCTTCCCAATTGTTAGGATTATAAGCATGTGCCACTATATCCAGTTTGTGGTTGAAAGGATCAAATCAGGCCATTGTACATTCAAGGCAAGCACTTTACCAACTGAGCTACATCTCTAATCAGTGTTTTTTTTAATGGGGGGGAGGAGCATGCATGGTACACATGTTTAGGTCAGAGGGCAACTTTGTGGAGTTGGTTGTCTCCTACCTTTATGTGGGTTTCAGAGATCAAACTCAAATTGTCAGGCTTGTGTGGCAAGTGCCTTTACGTAATGAGCACCAGCCAAATTTGTCTCTCCAGCCAAATTTTTTTTCCTTTTCTTTAATGAAACATGGTCTTGTTATATAGCCCTGGTTAGCATGAAATTTGATATGTAGACCAGGCTGACCTCAGACTTTCAGCAATCCTCCTGTTTCTGCCTCCTGAGCTCTAGAGTTACAGGTATGTGCCACATGGCCAGCTAAAAGCTTTTCTTGTCTAACCCATCCTCTCCATTACTAAATAAGCCAATCTTTCCATCCTTGCCTCCATTCCTAGAAGTAAAAGTTCAGGCCCCAGAGTCAGACATCCTGAGATCTGAGTCCTACAACTCAGTCTCGGGACCTTTTCCATGTCTGCAGAGTGGGTGTAAGACTCACCCCTAGGGATGAGGATTAAGTGACATATGAAGCCCACACACAGTAAGCCCTGTCTGTGGGTGTTGAAATAATGGTGGTGGTGATGACAATGATGACGACAGTCTCTCCCACCCTAACACAGCTTTTCTCTAAGCTCTGCTCCACCTTCACCTTTTCACCCTGGTGCCCTCTTCCCTTCTGACAACTTCTCAGAAAGTTGTGTGCAGAGTGCTGTTCTTCCTTCACTCCTTATAACTGCCTTCCTCTGCCCAGACTCTCCTAAGTGGCTACTCTAAATGTCACCAGTGATTTCTTATGTCCAAAGGCTAAGGGCCACTTTCTGGCCTCCCCATGTCACTCTGCAGCAAATGAAAATCTGTAGGAAATCCTCCACTCTTCTGCTTGTGACCCCATACTCCCACCCTCCTATAACTGCTCACTCTAACAAATTATCATCTCCATATCCCTCAGGGCTTGCCCTCTCAGTCTCCCCTGTCCACCCCAATAACCCATGCACTATGAGGACTGTTTCACTGTGCCATGGTCCCCTGACTGTTCCAGTCCATGGCAGGATAAACACAGAACCCAAGAGGAAACATTTTGAATCTTTCATAGCAATTTGACAAAGCAACTTTATTTGTTGAATCTAATTATACAAGTTTAGGAACTGTGTGTCTTTGTTTCCTAATCTTCATTTTCTGGCAATTCATTTTTACTATTTTTAACAAAAGTGTTGGTGACAGATTGGAACCCTTAAAAAACCAACCAAACAAACAAACAACAGCAACAAACCCTGGTCCTTTACCCATATAGCTGGAACAGAACTGCTTTGAGGGGGACCTCGAAATACTCCACTTAGGAAGATTTCAATGAAATCTCCCCACAGTGTCCTGGGGAGTGTTGCCTGGATTATGGCTTCAGTAGAGCATGCTGCCTACTCCCTCTTTCTTACCCTCCCACCTCACTTAGGGAGCAAGGCATCCACACAGGGCCTTCTCCATGCTGGAGCAAATTGAACTGAGTTTCTTTCCTGTCTTCTGTTCATCTCCCCGGGTCTCTTCTTTGCTCTCTTCCCCTTTTCCTTTCTCCTTCATCCATCTCTCACTCTGATTTGCCTCCCTGCCCCTTGCCTCTTTCCCTACCTCCTCTCCCCATCCTTGTCCTCCCTCTGCCTCCACAGTGGTTCTCCCCGCTCAGCTGTCACCAGCTGCTGGGCCCTGGGCTGCTGCGGATGGGTCGCCTGTGGCTGCGGTCCCCCTCCCATGCAGCCCTGGATCCTGGCCTCTGGCTGTCAGGGTTTGGCCTCCTTCGTGGTGACCACCTCTTCCTGTGTCCAGCACCCAGCCCTGGCCCACCAGCCCCTGAGGACATGGTGCATTTACGGCGTCTACAGGAGATCAGTGAGCAGGGGTACAGGGCTGAAGGGTGGCCATGGGAGGGTGTGAGAGTAGCTTTTTTGAAGTTTCAGATTCTTATGGCAAAGAACAGAACGTAGTGGCTTCAGATATAAATTCTGATATAAAGTCGAACTACCTAGACTTAAACCCCATCTCCATCATTTTCTAGCTGTGTGCCTTTGGACAAGTTCTTCTACTTCTTTATGCCTTGGTTTCCTTGCTTTAAAACAGAACCCTTAGTTTCTCCAAGAGTTAGAGTGAGGGTCAAATAAGGAAGTACATATAAATGCTTATCATAGAACCTGGCAAGAGACAACTTGTGAGTACTCAGTAAGTATTATTTACAGCTTGGGGACTAGCAGAAGGGACTGGGCATCCTCACTACTTTTCTTCATAAAAGAGGAACACGGTAGGAGTTTGGCAACAAGAGACCTGGGTTTTTAGATCAGTTTTGCCATCATGTAGCAAGTAATGTGAGGTAAATTATTTAAACTCTGAGCAATTGAATGTAACGTGTGTAATAGTTTGTATCATATAGCTATATTAGTGGAGCATTGTTTGTAAAGCTTAACCACTTAGTAGTCTTCACTATGATGATGATGATGGTAATACCCAAGGATTCTCCTACAGGTGTGGTCTCTGCAGCTGACACCCCAGATAAAAAGGAGCATTTGGTCCTGGTAGAGACAGGAAGGTAAATGTTCTACATACCTTTGACTCTTTGAACCCAGCCTCTGACCCCCACCCCTCCATTCTACCCCCATTCTACCCCCTCCCCCAGTACTAAGCCTGCTTCCTCAAAGTTGCTTTCCCCAGCTTAAGGACCATCTGGGCTTGGTGTTGCTGCCCCCTGCTGGTAGCCCTGCGATGTCAGCTCGACGTTCTCAGCTTCAGTCAGAAGACCTCTGGAGCTTACTCTAACTCAGGTGTCTTGGGTCTTAGGACCCTGTATTTGCAGGGGGAAGGCCGGCTAGACTTTGCAGCATGGAATTCAGCCATTGGGGGTGCTGCTGGAGGGGGTGGCACAGGGCTGCAAGAGCAGCAGATGAGCCGGGGCAATATCCCTATCATTGTGGACGCCTGCATCAGTTTTGTCACGCAGCATGGTGAGTGGGCACTGGTTGACACTGAGCCAGTAGGAAGGGTTGGAGAAGGCAGACACAGCCAGTGTGTTTGTGTTGGGAAGGGGGTGGGGATTGTGAATTACCTGAAACATGACATTAGCTGGCCACAAGATTCTTGGCAAACTGTTTTACATCTCTGGGCCTTAGTTTCTTTACCTATAAAGAGCTAACAGTCCTCATTTTTCAGTCTTGTCTGACAAGGTGATGATGCATGTCAAGCTCTGAGAGCACAGCCTGGCAGGCTGTCTGTTTTCAGAGATTTCATTACCCGGGCACAGAGGGTGAGAGAAACACAAGAAATGTGACCTAGGATTCAAAGCCTGGATAGAGAGGAGGCAGCTATAAGGCAAGAACCAAGCTGTGAAGGCCACAAAATCCCTGAAGGTCTGAGCAGAATTATTCTGTGGGGAGAGATTGTCCAGGACTAATGGGTCAGCAATGCAAGTGGTTGCCAAGTAAGGAGCAAACAGAATCTACATCCTCTATGAACCATTTTTAGGAGGCTGGATATTTGAAAAGAAAAACTCATAGAAAACCAAAAGGCTACAGGGTCCTGGGTTCAATCCCCAGTACCAAAATAACAACAGCCAGACCTCCTGGCACAGGCTTATAATCATAGTTAGTCTGGAATTTGAGGCAGGAGGATTGTACGTTCAAGACATACCAAGATTGTGGAAAAAGCTCAAGGCTGTCATAGGCAACTTAATGAGAACTTGTCTCAAAATAAAAAATATAAAAAGGGGCTTGGAGAGATGGTTCAGTGGCTAAGAGCACTGGCTGCTCTTGTACAAGACCCAGGTTTGGTTCTCAGCACTCACATGGCGGCTAACAATTGTCAGCAACTCCAGTTCCAGGGGCTCCAATGCCCTCTTCTGGGTTTCACAGGCATTGCATGCATGTGGTGCACTAACATGCAGGAAAACCACTCATAAACATAAACTAAAAATAAACCCAAAAATTATGAGAAGAAAAAAACATATACATATATACATACATGAAAACATTCCTGTATGTACACATACATGTATATACAAAACATTTACACATATAAAGGGCTGGAGATATCACTTATTGGCAGGGTTCTTGCCTAGCACGTAAACAGCCCTGGGTTTAATCCTTAATATTGAAGAAGGAGGAGGAGGAGGAGGAAGAGGAAGAGGAAGAGGAGGAGGAGGAAAAAAGGAACCTCCATGACTCTACAAAGAGCTGTACTTTACTAGTCATGGATAATGAATAGTCAATGGCTAATGGCATTCTCCCCACCTTGGCAGTGACCTCCCACTCACTAGTGTCATATATATATATATATGACACATAAATATATATATTTATATTTACCTTCCCTTGTATTCACAGGAGAAATTCTGTCTGAGGCCCTGAGAGAAGGCATTGGGGTGGGCACGCCTTCCCTTCCAGGGTCCTTGCATTCCCATGTTCATTTGATAGATACTGGTTGAGCTGCTACCATGTGCCAGACAGTGGGGAGGTGTCAGAGAAGAGGGAAGGCCCCACAAGGCTCATAGACTACTGGGAGAGACAGGTATTAAGGAAACAAACATTATCAGTTCTCGTTATTTGCAGGAGTTATGTTCTATAAAGCCATTGCAAACACTTAATTAGTGAGTACTGAATCACTGCCCCAAGGGAAAAAAAGGATTAGGTCCTCCGAACTTCTGGTTACAATACTTTTATCAACCAATCCTTAAA